TATATATATATGCGCACATATATTCCTATTGGTTTACTTGGCAAATAATTTGTAATGCTGCACATTTTAAACACTACACTGTCAGACAGGTGACATATCTATTTCCTGCCATTCTATGTAATCTTTCTGCCTACTGTCTGCTTAGGGAACAGTAAATCAGCATAATCTCTACTGTCTATTGGTCAAGGCCAAAGCAAAAGTTTCACCCTCTTCAGCTGCACATTCTCTATGTTCTCCCACTGTTCAGTGTGGCTGCTAAGAGTAAAACCTCCTTTCCCTTCCTGCCACAAAGCACTGGCGACTGCAAGTTGCAATGTGGAGCTTATATAGGGCTTTTTGTTTTCACTCCAGATGGCCAAGCAGAGCAATGGGGAAGCAAATAGAAGGTTAGAATGTGCAGCAGGGAAGAGTGTCAATTAAGTGAACCTGTTGCTTTGTCCTGCATGGACAAAACGCAGGCTTAATTTAATGCTTATTTCTGTATACCATTATTGATAACTGGCCAAAGAAATATACAAAGAAACATAAACAGCATTCATCAAAACAATTAGAACAATTAACTCAGTGATGGCGTTTTTTTTCCCTCTTCCCTTTCTTACAGGTTGGTGGTTTGATGCCTGTGGCCCTTCAAACTTGAATGGAATGTATTATTCCTTGGGGCAAAATACAAACAAATTCAATGGAATCAAATGGTACTATTGGAAAGGATCAGGGTACTCTCTGAAAGCAACAACAATGATGATTCGACCTGCTGACTTTTAAAAACCACAATCATATTTGGCTTATTGTGAAATAAGGACAAATACCAGAACACTGGAAAATAAATGCCTCCATATTTTTTTTATAAGGAACACTATGGAACCATACTCTGGATAGTGGTCCACTTTTGAGCTCTGCACAGTATTAAGATAAATAAATGTAAAGATTCCAAGGAAAAACATCTACAAAATGTAACCACAGATCAACAAGACTTAAAGGCAGCTCTTTGCACAGCTGGTATAGCTGTGAATGACAATTATTCTGATGTTAATTACTGGAACTGTGAAATACCTTATGCCTTTCTGCAGAGATACACGTGCCGTCTTTGTGGCGTCCTACCTGCAAACCACTTTGTATTATGTTCTGTATTATGAGTTGTACATATGGTTGTAAATTAACTGTATACAGTCTTATTTTAATGTTACACATATAAATAAGAGGGTGCCAGATTGTATCACGTACGGAATTTTTGAGTTATTATGATTGTTACTCATCAGAAACAGAAGCATGTAAAGACGTGTGCAGATACCACATGCTACCGAGGTACGATTCCAGTTACACAATGGATCTGAAGTTCTCAGTAAGCTTTGTACTATGGCTTGATATTGCAACAAAAAGAGTAAAAAGCCTTCAAAAGCAAACGTATAAATGGGCTTATATTTATACTTGTTCAAACTCAATATTTGCATATGCCCTCAGAAAGTACTGCTAAATTTATATTTATTGAGAATGCTTCCTTTATCCTTTTGGTATGTACACATTTTTTACTAGACTTTAGATTAGTAATATTATACAGAGGGACAGTTATAGAAGTATCGCATTTGTATTGCAACTTGAGTTTTCAACCTACATTAAGACAACAACATTTGTAACAAGGGCCGGCTTGTAGTGGTCAATATAATGAATAGGTGGACTTTACTTTTCAGTGGAAGAAGTGGAAAGTCAGGCTTTTCAATGTGCACTACAACGTTTCAACATATTGGCAACACAATTTAAAGTGCCTGAGGCAAACTGCTTTACATTGTAATATCAAATACCAAATCAAATGGAGATGTATAAACACCAACTCTTACATTAAAAGATGTCGTTAACATTTCTAACAGTAGTCTAGAACATCAGCTGGAAGTATAATTAGAGTAAAAGTAAAACCACCTGCTCCATCAAACGTCAGAGACTCCATTATTGAATGTAGATGGGTGATGTCACACAATATGCTCCTACTTTTTGTCTGAGCATGTAATATTAAATTTTCAATTGGTCTTTTTTTGTAATAGTCACAGGAAAGTGCAAAGCCCAAATTCATAATCCTTATTCCTAAACTCCAACAATTTATTTCTGCACTGCTTAAAATGGGTTAAATAAAAATAAAATAAACCTGACAAACACAAAGGAAAGAAACAGGAAAGAACCCTTAAGGATTTATCCTAAGATAAAAATGTTTACCAGTTATATAAATTATTTATTTTCTGACATTGTTAATCGGTTTCATAGCTTGAAAATGTGTTGATAAAACATTTTTCTTTTTATACATATGTTCTGTGTTGACATTTTTAAAATGTATTAAACTTGTTATTGGTTAAGGTTTGTTCTAGTCTTCTTTACTACCCTTGTTTTACTTGATAACATCAATCTGTAAACTAATCAATTATTTTGTTCACTTGCTCAGTTCAGTGTTTGTTCTAAAAAGTTTAGGAGCTTCAGCATTTTTCTTTATTGCATATCTTGACTCTCAGAACTATATTATATACAGTGGAGGGAAATTAATCAAAACTGGAGCAGATAGAATTTGGAGCAGTTGTCCATGGCAACCAATCAGTTTCTCTCTTTAGTTTGTACAGCTAAGCCTTGAAAATGAAAGACAGAAGCTGATTGGTTGCCATGGGCAACTGCTTCAGAATCTGTCTGCTCCAGTTTTTTTTATAAATTCTCCTCAGTGTCTTCAAATAGATATTTCCTTTTCACAGGGGTACTCTATAGTAAGTGTACTTTATCATTTCTCTCCCAAAAATCAATCAGAGAAAAGAGAGAGAGAGAAAAAAAAATACAGTCCCTAGAAAGCTTATCCTGCTATACCAATTAGAGTTCAGGTACTTATTGAAAATGACAGACATATATAGATAGCCAACAGGGATAAACTCTAGAATATTAATATAAATATACAGAACAGTAAGCAAGTAAAATGTTAAAGTGGCACAAACATTCTTGTTTACATTTTTAAGGATTTGTCAACCTTTAATAAAAATAAAAAAAAACAGGGTACCAGCCTATTATGTCCTTAAAAACATGTAGAAATACAAAAAAAAATAGTCATAGAATTATTGTCAAGTTAAAGGAGAACTATGAGGGACTGGATTCCCCTCTCCGATCTGCCAGCGCTGACTTGTGGAACGGACAGGGGTGGGGGCAGGTACAGCTGGCTCTGCCTCTAGATAGGCAGAGCCAGCTGTCACTCACGCAGCTGGGCGGATCCCGTCGTATCCCGTCGTCTAAGTCGGGATCCGCTCCGGCGTCTTAGTATACTGAGCTTAGGGTAACGGGAGGACGCTAGTTTGTGTCCTCCCGTTACCCTAAGGAGAACTATGGGGAAAAACACTGACCCCATAGTTCTCCTTTAAGTAACGCTGCTAAATTTGACCTGAGCATCTACGACCTCTGAGAACAAAAGGGTTCAAATGGATCTACCATTAAAATTCACACTGTACATAAAAAGGCTATATTGTTATTACCAAATGACATTATTTTGAGTTAAAAAAAAGTAACATTTTCTTGCTATTAATAAATTATGACTGAGGTAAATAAGTTGCATATGGCATCTCGCATTGTGGGTATTTGATTTCAGAGATTGTAGAAAATCAACATATTACGGAGAGTCCAGAGCAAGGCACAACACCAACAAGGAAAGAAAGCCTACATATGTAATTTACAAATATGGCTGGCCCTATGCATATTTTTTAAATATACACAGCAAAAAGGCTTTTAAAACATTAACATGCATAGGTAATATTCTTTATATTAAATTCTGATTGAGAGAAAAGGACAATTTCCTTTTTAAAGATTTCTGATCAGTCTGCATTTCCAGATCTTTGACAAGTTATTTACCTTTGAAGATGTGAATAAATGTAGATGCTTTCTGCTTCTCATTACAGGCCTGCTGAGAAGAAAGCAGCAATACTGCTTAACTATCTTGTCAGCTTTAAGCAATATGGTACAAAGTTTTCCATCTTACAAGACTAATTATTAGACTTCATATTCTTTAAATGAATCCAAACCCATATCATTGAGTCCACTCTCCCTTTGCGGGACAATGGAACATATGGATAGCTGGAACACAACCACAGAAAAGCCACAGCACACCAGACCAGCTCACCCAAACAGGAAGAACATAACACTTTTTTGAAATGTAAAATGAAAACATTTTATATTTGCATATATAATACATTTTTTATAGAGACATTTGCATTTTTAGACCAAGCACATATCAAATCAAGAGCTTCAAAAGGCAACATCCCCAGTGTGCTTTCACCCCCCCATCCCCCACACAAAGAGGCCAGTAAAAGTAGCTATCCTCCAGGCCAGCCACCCCAACTGTCTTATAAGCATTTAGGTGTACAAATCAGCTTTCTTTACATTATTTAAAAATTAATCCAGCCCAGACATAGGAAGGGACTTTTACTTTCTAAAAACATGAAAAAAAAAAAATCAGAGCTCCCCGTATTATATTTCCCCCCAAAACTCCTAGTATTAAAGAAACTAATATATCTGTCTAAACATGTTACATGTAATCCAAACACCAAATGATGTAAACCAGGCATGTCTAGAAAATTAAACTGGGGAGGCAGACTAACAAAGTTAACCACTTTAGGATTTAGAACATTAGAGATGTGTCCTTAGAAAACAAATTTTCATCTTTTTATTTATTTATCGATTCCATTAAAAAATAAAAAATGTTTGCTCAACGATATTGCCAAAAGAGAGCCTAGTTTTCCCAGAATAAAGGTAATATTTTTGGTATCTTAAGTGATGACAAAGTTATCGCCAAATAAAACAGGCCCATATTGGAAATAGAAAAATTGCTCTAGTCCATAAGTTATACAAGAGCTCAAGTGGTTTACACTAGAAGTTAATCTGCAATTCTACAGAAACAAACATGACTCTAATAAGTGCAACATAAACATAATATAATTTACCCTGCTATTAGGATTCATGGAAAGGTTCAGTGACTATATAAATACATGTGGCCATAGGCCTTGCACATCTATCAGAGTCACACAACTCTTATGAAATACCATGCTATTCCCTGAAAAAGCAACACAGATGTGCAACCATTGATAGTCACTACTTTCAACAGAGTGACAAAAATTAACAAACACAGAGTCGTGCCAATAGGCACACATGGATGAAAAAGGAAGTTATAAAAATCAAAACGTGCAATATTATTTTAGATACCCGACAAGTTGGGTTTGAAATCAACACTAAACAACAAACAATGTTTTAAGAAAATCTCTCACTTACTGGAGCTCCCGGAAAATGTTCTGAAAGTTCATATGGCTCTTCAGGCACCCACTGTCCGCATTCCAAAGACCAGAGAATCTGAAAGAAGATGCAACAGTTCAGAGCCTTGGTACTTTGACTGTAGACATCATGCATTACCTGCAGTATGCATAAAAAAACATTGCTGTCTCTGTGACTGCTGGGGAGATTCACCATTTCTATTGGCACTGAGGACCATTGTTAATTGTGAACATCACTTTAACCAGTTGACATCCGCGGTGTTAAACCCCCTTCCCATTTATGCGCGCGAGCGAAACCTCAAAAAATTTTAATACCCAAAATTGGCCATAGGCGAAGCTTTAAAAGCTTTTACCGCTATCTCCCGACCCGATCCCGATAAAAAAAAAGCACATATAGACGATCGGCGGGCTATGGAGCCGCCAATCGTCTATATGTGAAACACCCGGTAACGGGTGTTTGCATTGGTCGGGTCTTTTCTGCCCGTGCGCGCCCGCAGAAAAAAAATGCAGTCTTGAGACGGCAACCCACCAATGCTGCAGTGCCGTCCGTCCGTTTTTTTACAACGGGCGTATGGCAAGTGGTTAATGCACCAGCCCAACCCACTAACTTCCATCAGTCATCTGGTGGTCTGCTTGTGCTGTAGAAGAGTGACAAACAGCATTGGTAGGAAAATGATTGATGTTACTTGTTGCATATTATTAATGTCATCAGGTAATTTGCATGTGACTGAAGCTTTGTACTAAATTCAAAAACAAAGGGCATTCAGTTAAGAGAAAACGTTCTGGATTTTTGCAAAAATAATTGCAATAATATGTACTGAACTTTAGTAATAAGTTGTAAAAGTGTAACATTACTTTTGTTGGCAAAAATAAGTCCCCTGTAGGTGAACTGTATACAATGCATTGAATTTAGAAAAATGTTTCCCTTTCATACCTTTCTCTGTTCTAAACGGAATTGCTTATTTTTCCATGTCCTTTCTCAGGCTGAATTACAAATGGGAGGGCCTGTCTTCATTATCAGCACATGACCAAGGCCGGGGTCCCATGGACAAAAGCTGCAGGGTCTGTATCCCTTTTTGGAAAGGATAAACATTAGGGTATCCCACCAAAAATGAAACTCTTATTTGCAAGGGATGTTGAAGATGTGACTTGTTTCTCAATGCAGACTTCAGGGCCAATTCACACCGCGTCCAGATAATCTCCAGACCAGACCAGATAGGTTCTGGACCCAAAATATATCCCTATGCTATTTCTGGCCTCTGTTCACACCAGCACAGCCCATTCCAAACCAAACCAGAAAAAATACTGCATGTCTCATTTTGTCTTGTCTGGAATGCATTGGAAATGCGAGCAGGTTCACACCATTTTCTGGACCAGGTCTGTACCAAATCTGGTCCGGAAAATGGTGTGAACCTTCCCTCAAAAGAAAATCAGTAATCTAATGACACACACAGGTGATTTATTTTTCTTGTAGCATTCTGTACACCAAGGATTTGTACTGAACACCCCCAGGTTGTCATATTGCAAAAAAAGCAACATTCAAATGTTTTGGCAGTTTAGATATCATAGCATCTGTCATTGAAAGGGAAATATTTTAAAAACAATAAATTACAAAATTGTTTCTGTAGTAAATATACATGTTCTATTTATTTTTTTAATGGTGGGGCTTTTTCTTCAAAGAGATCCTGTCGCCAGACCTTTCATATCAACAAAATCTTCCCATAAGATTTGTACATTTAACATATTTCATGCATGCTAATTACCTGTAAAAGCCTCACTTGTGCGGACATCCAAAATCCCTGAAACTTCTGCTGGGCGCCTCTATCTGGGATGTGATGCCAGCAGTCTTAGGAGATTTAAATCAGTCACTTAAGTAATTTGTTTTTATATGATTCCCCTTCACTACTTCTCTGGCAGCTGTATTAAGGCCTTGTTCACACCAAGCGCGGAGCAGATCCGGACCAGAGCAGGTGCAGACCGGATCAAAACTGCGTCCAATGTATTCCTATGGTATTTTGACCTCCAGTTCACATCGCAGCGTGCGGATCCAGACCAGATCCAGACCGGATGAAAAAAATGCGGCAAGCCCTATTTTACCTGCTCTGGATCTGGTCTGGAACGCATCAAAAACACAAAAACGCATCAAAAACGCATGCAAGTGCCTGAAAGCCCATGTTAAACTTAAAAAAAAAAGACTCCTCCCTTCCTGATCCCCCCATGCTCTTTGTTCCCTTGGTAAATCTCCACTGATATCACTCACACCATTCAGAAGAGTCTGGGATACACACCATCATACTCCAGATCCCAATACGAGCTCTCAGCTATTGACAGATCTGCCATTGCCCAGCACCATTGTTAATGCATGTAGCTGATCCATTAGGGCCCCAATTCCTTTACCCTTCGATATCCTCATAATTCTTGAGGAGCTCGACTGATTTTGCAGCCCTGAAAGTTGAACCTTAGACTACTGCTTTATCTATAGAATCTCCATGGGCGAATGTTGGTGCAACAACTGTTGGTATATACAAACTGACAGAGACAAAAAAAGAAAATGAAAAAGTCAATTGGAACAGCCGGTTCTTAAATACAATCCTTTAATAGTACAACTGACTCAAAACTAATTCAACTGAGAAACCCTTCAAAACTTTCCCATTGTGATATTGCATTAACATCACAATGGGATGTTAAGGGTTTCTCAGATGAATTAGTTGCGAGTCAATTTTTATATTAAAGAACCAGCGGATCCATTTGCCTTTTTCATTTGCTTATTTTTGTGGTGGAGCAGCTGGTGTTTCCATGCAATTGACATTATTTCACAGAGATTTCCACTTTACATGATGTCTTTTTCTTTTTATCTTATTTTGCTAGATCAGTATTGACACCTTGAACCTTTGTGTGGTTCCTTGTTTCCCTCCTGTTCTACTGTTCCTTTCGGTTCATGAACATTTGTCTGCTTTTACCTTTACTTAACGATATGTACTGTAAAAGTTTGTAACATTTTGTAGTCTATTTAAAACAATAACAATTATGGAAAATAAAAGGTTATCTAGGAAGGTAAAGGGAGAGGGGGGACCTTGGCTAGCACAGAGATTAATTAGACACTCCCAGAAGAGAAGAAGGCTATGGCGTGCAAGGAAGAAGGGGGCTGTGCTAGGGAATTGACTAGTCATTTATTTCTTTTAGCAAGTTCCATGGCACATTGTAAGACAAATAAAAATGATTTTACGGAAAGGAAAAACACTGCAACTAAGCATTTAAAATACTTATTATGTGTGCCTACCTGCAATTTTTTTGCAGTTGGTAACAGGGTATCTTTAAGGTGGCCAACTATGTATGTTGTACATATGCCAATTGCACATGTTTATAAACATTTAGGAATTCCCATAGCACATGCAGAAAGTCAAATTAAGAAATGTGTATAACAAAATCCACAATTGGTCACACAATTAGAAAGGGCACATTTTCACACAGTTGCACAACAGAAAAAGGCTTATGTATGTAAGAGCATTTTTTTTAAATTCAGACATGACAGAAATAAAAGGTTTGTGATAATAAACCTTCTGAAAATGCTAGTCACCTGGCTGACAAGCTGCATATATGACTCTGCTGCCATATGAGTCTTTGAGTGCAATAGATATGCAGACCAGGAAAATCCGAAGTCCTTTTTTGTACTTGCACTTCTCATTGTTCAGTGAGGTCGGGTGACTGCACTGACCAATGCAACTTGCAACTGGAATTTGAAAGCAGGGCTGCACTGCTGTGTACGGTGTATGGACAGTGCACCGGCAGCTGCGAAGGGCAAGGAGCAGATTGGTTGGGGTAAAGTAATTTTGCCAAATTCACCTGGGAAAGTGGAATTACCCTTTAACCGGTTTTCCTCCCATTGGCACCAATTTTGTGGCCACCAGCTCTGGGGCATTTTTGATTTCCAATTACCACCAAGCCGGGGCACCCTTTACTCACACTGATGCTGTGGCTTTTACTACTTCCACCCCACACTACACTCTTACTAACGCTAACAAAGCCCAGAGATGTGTTTTTAAGAGTAATTCTAGGCAACAAGTGAAACAAAGCAATGAGCTACTAATTTATTCTGCAGAAGTGGTAAAATCAGGAAGCTCACTCAATTCACCTTCATCTGTGTTCTATGAAATCCAGTGAATCAATAATACACACAAGCCACCTGACAGGGTCATTAAGTGAACATTAAGTGTGTATTTCTGGTAGCCTCTGCATTGTGAAGCGTTTATTCCTCTTCAGTCATATTCCAACTTTAAAAGGTAGGTTTGAATCTGACTGGTGGTTGCAAGAAACTTCTTATGCTTGATTTTGCTCTGTTTCTGTATGTGAATAGCAAAAGGTTGCATGCTCCAGCATCACCAGGTAGTGTGTTCCAGGATATCCACATTACTGGCAAAAGGTAAAGAGGTGAACTAGTGCACTACAGCAGTACATGAATGAAAACCTGTAGAACTGAGCAGGTTAGCTGTGATCATATGCATCAAAAGGCTTCTTAAATTTTCATCTGGAGTGTACTTCTAAATAATGCAAACCCATTATTGCTCAATAATCTTTTGTAATTTTGTTGCAACATCAACTCATTTAAAATTTCCTGTTCAATAGACAACATATATTCTATCACAAATAATGCAAATTAGAACCTGACAATATTTTAAGCAGAAACTCATGCGTTAATCTTTGTGAACTGACGGTTACATATAAAATAAACCCCCCCCCTTATATGTGTTTCGATCACAAAAAAACACTTTTTTTCCCAGGTAAGGAGTTCATTGTATATTGTGGCTGAGTTCAACATTGATATCAACCATTTCTAAGAAACAAGTTTTCTACCTGCATCCACTATGCACTACCATGCAATGGGGCTGACATTACTTTTTCATCTCAAGTGCTCCATCACAAATGATATAATCAGACATTCTACAGTAATTTGAAATTGCATTCCTTTGCAGCAAAAGAACAATATCATGTGAATGAACAAGACTTTCAAATGTGATATGTTTACAACCCAAATAATCATAAAGAAATCAATGATAATAGCGATCAATTATGGGACCACTT